CCCAAAGGTGCGCGCAAGCCTTGACGACTGCTCTTCCTTCCCGAACCCCAAAGGTGCGCGCAAGCCTTGACGACTGCTCTTCCTTCCCGAACCCCAAAGGTGCGCGCAAGCCTTGACGACTGCTCTTCTTTCTTCCCGAACCCCAAAGGTGCGCGCAAGCCTTGTGAGGAGGCCCCCAGAGTGAGAGCGGCGGGGGGGCTGGGAGGAGGGGGAGCTGGACGGGCGCCGAGGGCGGGCGTCTGGGGTGCTCCCCACACGACCCAAGGGCAGGCGGTTCAGGCAGGCACCACCGAGTAGGGCGCGGAAGGGCAGGGCTGGGCAGGGCCGGCTGCAGCAGGGGGCCCTCCACGGCCACCTCCAAGTGCCTTCCGGCACGGGGAAAGGCAGTGAGGCCGACGCCGGCAGTGTGGCTTTCACGGCAGCTCCCGCAGCGCGCACATCCAGCACTCACGCTCACTCACACACACACACACACACACACACACGAGCGCGCGCGCGTGCACACTCCCCAGCCTGTGGCGCAGAAGCTGGGGGTGGGGCTGCTGGGGTCTCGGGGGGGCCTGGATCCACCGGGACACCCCTTCCTGTCCGCGGGCAGGGGCGCCAAGGGCTCAGCTAGGTCTCCGTGGTGCAGCTGCCGTAGGCCAGAGGAGGTGAGGCCGGGAGGCCACCCCAGCGCCTGGCGCCAGGCGGGGGCTCCGCGCGCCCCTGCTCTTTGTATTTACCCAGAATGCCTCTGGCTTCTTCTGCATCCCGCAAAGGGCTCTCTCCGTACTCCTCCTTCAGCCACTGGCGGAACTGGAGAAGTGAAACAAACCAGGATGTCACACAGCTCATCCCCTACACTCTCACCTGTTACCTGATGGTGTAGGTTTGCCCCTATGAACAGGGGGCCAAGGGGCATCGGGCAGTCAGCTCTGAGGCTGGCCAGCCAGTGTCTAGCAAGAGAAATGACTGCTTCTTCCAGGTTCTGGCCTGAGAACGTGAAAGCAAGCCTGACCAAGGAAATGGCACTTGACCCCAAGGCAGAGAAACAGAAACTAACATGGGGCCTGAGGACAGTGGGAAAAGGGAATGACCGCAGCGGCTGGTGGACGAGTGGCCAGTGATACTGCAGAGGGGCTGAAGGGGTGTCCTCGGAACAGCCGACCTCTGGGGGCCTTTACAGCCTCCACAAGTCTAGGCGGGCACGGAAAGACGGAGGTGTGTTCCCAGCCCCTGAGCACGCTCACCTGACAGACCTGGTGTTCCTCAAACTCCTGCAGCTGCCTCTGGAAGCCCAGGTTGGGGTTTGCACAGGACCTCCCCGCACGCACAGTGCGCAGGGCATCTTCCCAGCCGAAGTCGGTGACCGTCATGATGTATGCGACCACCAGAGTCACACTCCTGGAGACGCCGGCCAGGCTGCAGGGCCAAGAACCACACAGGCAAGGGAGGGTCGGGGACTCTGAAGGCTTCACTGCGGAAGCCTGCCTGCCCTGGGGTGCGAGTGCACAGCAAGCCAGCACGTTACTAGGAAATTACTCAGAACATACCAGCTCTCTCTCCCTTATGACACTAGAATCTCAGGCATCCTTTACCTGTGTAGCCTCATTTTTTAATTGGTTTTCTACTGGCTGTGTCTCCGGACACTTCACTGTCTGATTCCCTATTGCTCCTGAGCTCCTCTTCAGATAGTCCCCATTTCCCTGGACAGATAAAGTAACTAAAGGACATCCAGGGACTGGAGGGGTCCAGGATCTGAGCAACAAACCCAGTTATAATCTGCAGCCGTTCAGACAGCTTCACGTTTTTAGAGTCTGGTTTTCTTAGGGATATAAGGGCCAAGTCTATAACTTAAAAAACTCATTAAATACAGAAGCCCTTACCAAATATTTTGTGATCCTCTTCACATACATAAGCAGAGTGCCAGCGTGGGCACGCTCTGCAGGCCATAACGGTCAATTTTCTCTCACAGGCTGAGTAAGGGACCGATTTTAAATGCACATGCAAATTACGGCAGTCACAGAGAGGTTGTGCTGCGTCAGACTTGGAGTGCTCAGCAACGGTTTAAGATGGGGAAGTTTAGCAAATTTCTCATTTTTAGAAAAGCCTACCTTCAGATTGACACAACTGTATGAGATACAAATTCCTAGAACATCAGGACTGCACATATTCAAATATAAATAATAGTAATAGTAAAAAACCACTCTCAAGTAGCGGTTCTTCCTGCATCTCAGAAAAACTGAGAGAGCGTTAAAAAAAATACATACTCTTGGGCTGCACCCGGGCAGATGCCCTCACCAGGCACAGGACTCCAGAGCCCCTTGAAACGGCCCTGACTGCGCCGCAAAGCGTTTTGAAGCAAATGTCACAAAACCTGCACTTTGTGTTTATCACATGTCCTGCTCCTTTTAAAAGTAAAATGAAAATGGGCAGCGATGAAACGAGGGCCCACATTCCCTGAGTGCTTGCGATGTGTCAGGTGCGGGGCACCGTGCTTGAGTTCTGTGTCTCAGAGGAGCTTTCTCTGCACAATGTGTGTACAGGTATATGTGTGTGTACCACACAGACGGCAGCTGAATGCAGGTGGATAGCTGCATAGGAACTGCTCAATTCTAAGAGTCTATTCAGTTCTCTTTAAAGCAAAGTATAAGCCCCAAACACATAAAAGCTCCAATCTATAAACTGAGAAGAAATGGTCATTTTGGTGTGACAGTAACGCAATGCTAAACACCCACACATGCAATCAAAACTCTCCAGCAAGAAGCAGTGTTTTGAATGGGCACTGGGCAGAGCCCATATTCTGTCGGGATCTCGGAGGAAGGCTGGAAAAGGAGTTTCTGTGTCGTGACCTCAACAGTCCCTGCAGAAACCTAACTGAGAAAATGAAAATCCTAAGTGGAAAGGAAAGAAAAAATGTACGGTTCTCTTTGCACAAAAGCAAACAATGACTAACAAGCAGGTGGGGTCAGGTGGGGTGTGCACTGGGCGTTTGCGGGAGGTAAGCAGAACAGGCCAGGGGTCATCCGGCAGGGGCACACGTACCAGTGAACAAGGCAGCCCTCACCTCGCAGGCGGCACTCGTGGATGAATTGAATACTTTCTTTGAAATGTCTTGCCCTGGGGTGAGGGAAAAGGAGAGACGTGACATCTCTGTACTTTACTCAACATACGATGAAAAGAAAACTCCACTGAGGTTTATTGTAAAGGTCTTGAGTTCACAGCTTCAGACCCCAGTCACCGACCGGGGCTAGAACGGCCTCGGCTTTGAATCCGACCCACACCGCTGAGGTCCGGGAGGGCAGCCCATCCGCTGGAATTGTCAGAAGTTCTCTGCAAGGGATCCCTGAAACACACAGTTGCTGCTGACTTGTGGGGGGTGGGTCCTGCCCAGCCCCATGGCCAGTCTGGGTCCCTCAACACTCTGCAGTACAGCGACCTGCCTACCAGCCACCCAGGCGAGGGAGGTGCCCACCCAGTGTGGGCTCCCTGAGCTCTAAAGCCAGTTCACTTCTGACCGTCTGTGGATAGGTCCTGTCTGCCCGTCCTCCAGGCCGGGGAAGGGGAACTGCTGCTCCAGTCCCGCTCGGCCTCACTGGATATGGGACTTTGGGAATATCACCTGGCTTCCCTTAACCTCACCTAGAAAGTGGGAGCTATGTGTCACAGGCTGGGACGAAGAAACATATAACAATGTGCTTTGCAAACTCTGAGGTCCTGCATGAAGGTGAAACCGTGATCTTTTCTCCTGACCCTCGGCTTTTATAGGACCCCCTTCCCCTGTCCCTGGTTCCTGCCCAGCTGCGTGCACCAGCATGTTCTAGATGGGTAGGTGGGTTAAGTACAAGTACTCTGAGGGGAACTACAAAGTACGTGCTTTTCGATGTCTCCTGCCTTTGAATGGCTTATAATGCAGCAAAACACCTAAAGATGCCCATGGACTAAAGTCACAACACCTACTGAGTACTGATTATTTAGCAGGGACTCTGCTAAGATGCAAGAGATTCAGAGCTGAATAAAATGTGGTTCCCAGCCACACAAACTAGGTCTGCTGTCTCATGTCAGGGTGAATGAATCCAGTAAGAATGGGGAAATTCAGGTGTTGGGACAAACAAACTCAGCCAGCTATAGACTGCAGAAGAAACTCAGCAACCTAAGTGCCGGTGCCCGGCTAGATTAGGGCAGCTGGCACAGAGACTCTAGTGGCAGGCCTGATGCCGCCATGTGTGGAGGGGCCAAGCTCCCACCCACAGACTCTAGACTCTCACCTGAAACCTGACTATAGAGCAGGGCAAGGGGTGCTTCTGCTGACTTTCCCAGGGGCAAACGCTCCAGGTGTAAACGTACAAAGTAAGCAGGGCGCCGCGACGCTACTCCCCCAACCGACCTGTTGTAAAACAGGCAAGGAAAGATTCCTGCTGTGATCCTGAAATCCGAGGAGACCTCCTCGGAGCAGGGCTGTGAGGCAGAAGCCAGGAAGGCCAGGCAGCAGAGCAGGGAGGGGCGGAGGGTGTGGCCCTGGAGGCGAGGCTGCCAGTGCACAGGCAGGAGTGATGGTCCAGGGCGGGGAGCGCCGCTCATCCTGTCTCTCAGCAGGCGGAGCTGGCGGTGAACTCTTCTGATGATTGGGAAGTGCTGGGGCTGAGGGGGTCTCCTCTGTCACCCTGAGGCTGTCGGGGCAGCAGTTCCCAGTCCCTCGGAGGCCCGTCTTCCCTCCAGTTCCGGCCACAGAGAAGTAAAGGGGAGGCTGTGGGCTGGGGGCCCCTCCTGATAAAAGGAAGGGCATCTCTGCCCCAGGCTTCCTGCCAGGGGACTGGGAAGTGGCTCATGCCCAGAGTTGCGTCAGCCGCTCTGCGACCACAGGTGGCAGGCCTCCGGGGTGGAAGGGGGCTCCAGGAGCTGCTGCCCAGACCTGGAGCACCCACCCCAGGCTTCTTGGGCAGGGAGTGAAGTAAATCAATGTCTTTATAACTTAAAACACTGTCAATCAGATATTCTGCTATTTACAGCCAAGCACTGTCTACCTGATATTAACAAGTGCAACGGTTTTAAAGACACTGAGCCACTCATGTGGCCGAGGAGCCACTCATGTGGCCACCTACAGGCGGCCCGCCCACCCTCTGCCTCGTGGTATCCCATGCAGACACGCCAGAGGGTGGGCAGGTTTGACTGTAGGTCCAGGGCTAGGCAGTTCGCCCAGGACCCAGGCTCATCTCAACTGCAGGCTAGTGGCCTCCGTACCCTAGGCTGGCCACACTGCAGTATCCAAGGGTTCCCAAGAGGCCTCTCCATGCCTGCAGCCCATGCTCTAGCCTGTGCTCTGTGGGGCTCTTTCTGGTCCAGGAGAGCTGTGTCTGAGATGAGACAGGTGCGAAGAACACCCTCCAAGCAAAGGAAGAGCGAATCAGGAAACGAGAGACAACGGCCTGAGCGCGTGGGGAGCACGGACGGCCTCAGAACACACTGTGGAGGCTACGCCAGGCAGGTGGCTTGTCCCGGGGACCTGTCGGCCCTGGGGAGGCCACCGACACCTTACAGAGACGACAAGTGAGCCCGTTTACTGAAACCCCAGGGTGGGAACCTCTTCTGTCTGCCTTTCACGCCTGCATGTCCGAAACCACACGCAGGATGAAACCCAGGTCCTAAATAAGGCGTGGTGCTGGGTTCAAGGGTCAGTTTTGCCACACCTCAGCATGAGAGACTGAGGTGGGGTGTGGTCAGCAGGGAAATGTCTAAAGTGGCCGGAGCCCAGAGCGTGTATGCGAGGGGCCCCCCGACAAGGGAGCTGTGAGGAGGGTCTCCCCCCAGCCTCTCCTCTTTCGGCTCTGTCTGCATCAGGCGTCAAGTCCAGGGAAAACCTACCGATGGCTCCTGCCCATCGCTGTGTTGGGACAAGGGCTCCGGCCCAGGAGCTTAATGATGCCCACGGAGGGCCCGCTCGGAGCCCCACCTCGAAACCTGACTCATGGGCAAGACCGGACACGAGGCCAAGCCGGACAGACACTCCTAGAAGTGCCTCTTCCAAGGAAAGCCAGGAGGCAGGTGTGCTCAGTGCTCTTGGGGTAGGTTATTTCCAGGGAAGCTCGTGACATAAGCCCTGGCCCGGCCATCACACCCCCTCCTCCACAGTGGGAAATACCCGGGGCTCCGGGCCGCACGTTGCTCAACCCTGGATCAAAGCAGAAGCCCAGAGGGAAGCACATCTGCCACAGGCTGTTCCACTGAACGCCGGTTCCCTATTCCTGATCTTCGTGCTGTACCTTTACTTCCACACAAAGACACGCGGTCAAGCTCTGCCGGAGGACAGCCACCTGGGTGCGTCCAAAAGCACGCGTGCCTACACGTGCCCGTGGCTGCCAGTGTGTAGCTGCCGACAATCGCCGAGAGCACAGGGGCCGGGCGAGAGACGCCCTTCCGTGGGGTTGGTACACAGCCCGGCAGCTGTGCCACTGTCCCCTTCTTCCTCCTCCCCAGTCTGTGCTGGTCCTCCCCACTGGGCAGTGCATCCCAGCCCGCCCTCTCCATCCAGACGCCCAAAGCAGGACCAGCTGGGTGTTCCTAACCTTCGGGAAAGGATGCTGGATGAATCTAGCAAAGCCGCACCACACGACGCTCATTCTTTGAGTCTGGACAATCTCTTCTCACTCCAAGACTGCAAGACTTGGAGGCTGTGGTCCCCACTGTTGGGAGGTCTGAGGCGGTCCTGTCCTGCTGGGAGGGACTCTGCTTGTGGGAGGTCTGGCCCAGCACCTCGGGGGGCAGCTGGGCTCACCCCAAAGCCAGCAGTGCCAGACCAGGCTGCGCTGACAGCACAGCCACAAGATCCAGGCCACTTCTCCTGCCCCTCATGAGAGTATGAACATGTGTGTGCACGTGTGTGTGCACGTGTATGCGGTATGTATACAGGAAAGCAAAGGAGAAAAAGACCAGGAAAGGCCAGCACCCTTAGGGGTTTTTTCCCTCAGAAAAGAATGTTTAAAAAAAAAGCCTATGGGTGGAGTGTCCTCTCTGGGTGCAGGCTCTGGAGGGTGGGCTCAGATCAGAGAGCTGCTTCCTCCTGGGCAGAGTCAGTCCAGCCCCCCCAGGCCCTGCGCTGACCGGGCAGCTCTCACTGCACCCGAGGTGAGCGGGAAGGAAACTTCCCCACCCGGAGCAGACTGCACACAGCCTTCAGCACATTTATGTCAAGGCTTCCGCAACTTTTACATTTCCTGCATTGTCAACATTTAAAGAAAAATTGCGGGGAATATGTGTACTGTACTTTTCATTTTGCCAAATAAGGTCATTTTAAAAACAAACAAAAAAAATCCCCTCTCTACCATCTACTACAACATCATTTTACAAAGAACATTTCCACCCCAAAAAAGCAAGGACGACATAGTCTAAGACTAAAAAATAGGTTTTTAAGTTGAATAAGTGAAGAGTCTTATGAAAAACGCAATACACGTTTTCCACATATTTCTCATTTCTGCGACTGCAGCATCCTCAGGAGTCGTGTATGTGCAGGTGTGTATGTGCATCTCTGTCTGGAAGCAGGACAGAGCACATCAGGGCCCACTTAGCTCTGATCTTGCAAAACTGCCTTTTAATAATAAAAGTAAAGAAAAATGTAAATGAGAGAAAAAGAGAGCTGGAAGTACAGAAGACATGAGCTAAACTAAAGAAAACACACACAAAAAGACAGGAGGTGGAATAAAGCAAGGAGGGTTTAACGCAAGCTCTCTGCATTTCTGATGCCTCTTCTCTCCACAAAAACCCCAGGAACCTGAGACCCTGCTCGACTCTCAAGCCACTGTTGTCACCAAGTTTCTGCTGCGAAGATGCGATGCTGCAGCTCCACAGAGAAGACAGAAAAGATAACCCTTCCCTTATGGTGTCTAAATCCAAACACCAATCTGATAAATACTAAACTAGGAATGAATACAATAAGCTGCGATACCGCCAACCATTCACTCTCAAGACACGTTAACACTCCTTTCTTGAAGAGGCAGCATATGGAATCTGATTCTTTGGAGACACTTAGTGTCTTTTTACACACTTGCACTACCTCACCTAATGCTACAGAAATCGTGTGAGACAGGTATTTCACAGGGGAGACAAGTGAGGTTCAAACGACCTGCCCAGGGAAGCACAGACAGAAAGCAAAAGCAAACATTTCCAAAAGCCTCAGTTCACTCAACCACTGCACGTCTGCCACTGGCAGAAGGGGTGTGCATTTGATATAAACCCGACGATGCCTCCAATTCTGCAAATCACGCAGAACGCATCAGCCTGGGTTCTGTGGGGTTGTCACCGCTGTGAGAACCTGAACTTTCATGTGTCCTGACTTTGTGAGGCAGGGTGGTAGTCGGGACCAAGCTAAAATTCTGATGTGTTACTGTTGTCTCTGGTCAGGGTTCTGCATTTCAAATTCCTGGAAGATCAGAGGGGAATTTGTGAGGAGTACGGCCAAGACAGAAAACTGACCTTTCTGGCGCGTCTGCGGTGGCCCAACGCAGGTAGTCTCCAAAGGTCACAACCCTCTTACTGAGCATAATTAGCAAGAAGAATTCCTGCTGGTGTCGGGGTTTGTGGGGAAAGAGTTAGGGTATAAAACCTTAAATTATATCCAAAGTTGGAAAGAATTTTTAAAATCTTTAAGTTAAAAAAAATAAGCAATACAGTTTTCTAGAATTTATTTTTGTCCTTAAATATAGGAACTCTCAGGCACCAGGAAGTAAAAGCTGCTAGACTAAAGGACCTCTGGTTCTAACTGGGCTTCCAGAGCAGTAAGAGGATTTGCCTCCTGACCATCTACATCGGTTGATGATACAGAAACTGAAGGTTCACGGTCAGCCTGCACATGCTCCTACTACTTGGTGAGTAATAAACACAAGCTACCCAAAGCGAGGTGGGTGATACAGAGAAGTCAAGAGTTCTGCCTGCCAGCGTTAACCGTCTCACTGTACAATGAATGCATGCTCGCGGTTAAAAGGCAGGCTGTGCTTTCCAATGAAATATCTGTAACAGGTAGAGAAACTCAAACTATTTCATAGGCTGTCTCTTAACATACGAAGTACCCTCGAATTCCAAGCTTAACTTCACGATCTCTATATAACTTCACTAAAGCAAGAAACATTTATAGAATCGTGCACATTTATGCACCTAAATCCCTACTTGTGTATAAGCTTTGCTATTACTAATGGATCAAAAATAAAAGTTTCCCTAAAGAATCACACACGTGCCTATGAGCACAACTGTCTTTCCCTGAGTTATGGTCTGGACCCCCTTTTCCAACTGAACCCGAGGTCAGGCTGCTGCAGGGCTTCACTCACGACGGCAGCAACGGCCACTGCCCAGCTCGACCTGTCACCAGCCCCGAGCACAGACGCCGCAGCACCCACCTGCTGGACCACACTCTTGGCCCGATTCCAGGAAAGGGTAAGAAGGCAAACCACACATCGTAACAAGACATCTGTACACACTTGGGACAGGAGAGAACAAGTTCAAATCTTATGAGCTAGTCCTCTGGCCCCAGGCTGACTGGGCTCGAGCTGGTTTTGCCAGAAGATCTGAACAGACCCAGGAGACATCGGAAGTCGGGGGAGCGGCTGCTGCACCCTCTGTCCCCGCCCTCCCCTGGATCACACCTTCCCAGCATCCGTAGTGGGCCTCCTGGGCACCTGTAACTCTCAGGACGCACCAACGCACTTGGAGTAAAAACACACTTATTTTCAAAAGTGCTCAGAGGTCACAGAGAACACTTCCACACACATGGTCTCATCTCCACAAATCCTGGAGGCAGGCGTTTGCAGATGAGAGAACTGAAGTTCAGGGGCGTTAGAATGACTGGCCCGAGGCAGAGGGAGCTGCTTTTGAACCTGAGATCTCTAAGCAGTCTGGGTCTACCGCTCACTTGTCTGCACAGGGCAGGACCGCTGAGCGCTGTCTTCACCTGGTGAGCTAGGGTCCTTGCCCCAGATGTGGAGCACAGTGCCTGCCTCCACCGAAGCTGAAGCATCCTGGGGCGGTTCGAGCAGAGTGGCCATCTGCCCTGACCACGAACACCCACGGGCTGCTGCAGTCAGATTCTTCCGGAGGGTCAGAATGCCAATCAGGTACCGACAAGTTCAACAGTATGTTAGAATTTCGGTTTGAGATAAGAGCAGAGCAACCATTCTAAAAATAGCCACCAAAACATGGGCAGAAGACTGCCGTGGTCTCGAGAGAAAGGCAGTGGCTCGCTTCCTTCCGTATACACCATGCCCTCCAACCACTTCTGTTTCTCGACACGACTAGTAACCAAGGAGGTTCTCTGATACTTCTTCTCCTTCCAGATCTAGGCTACTACTGTTTTCCTGGTGATCCTATAAAATCTTTCCTCACCATCCTCGATCTTAAAGACTGACCTTTTCTGTGAAACATGGAGAGCTGTTGTGGAAACACAGGCTTTGGGTAGGAGGTTTTGGCCCTGCATCCAGCCTCCCCTGCCCCTTCCTGGTCTGACTCTACACCTCCTGCCCCTGCCCTCACCTTTACTCTTTCCCCCATCAGTCCATCTGACTATAGCCTCCCGTTTTTCCAAACAGGTAGACCTCACAAAATTATTGCGTAACCTGTGATTTCTCTGCTCTCCAGCAGTGAAAAACCAAGGTTGGCTGACATTCAGTATTGGACAGCCTTCAGAGTGGTAAAGTTGTATGGTCTGTACTTCTGATATGTAGGCCTTGCAGGCGATAAAGCTTGAGAACCATGAAGGTTCTCAATCCTGACAAGCCCATGGACTCCCAAATTCTCCAACACCACAGCCTCTTCCCTGATGAAATGCAGCAACATGTCATTCTGGAAGGGTTGTTGTGTCTGCCCTAGAACAGGCAGCAAAGGTGAGTCTGAGGCAGAGGCTGGGTTGCTGGACGTACTGAACAGCCATGTCCTCGACTCCTGTGGCTCTCAGCCTGCCTGGTTCAAATCCAGGCTCAGGAGAACTTTCATCTAGTCCACATCACCTCCACATCACCTCCAGACACCGAGGAGCGTGGTGTCACAGCTGTAACCTCGTTGGTCTGCAACCCCTGTCCCACAGGTCTCGTATGACTGTGGGGAATCTGGAAAGGAGAGCGACTATGAATCTCTCTTTGGAGGGACACACAGAGCTAAAGCGGCACCGGAGATGTATTCAGCTGTGGGGAAGAGAGGGCAGGATTTTCCTAACCAGAAAAACGTGGTCTCTCAACTCAGACCAGCTTTCCAAGGATGCTGTCCCTCAGGTGGCCACTGGCCACGTGAGGCTGCTAGGCACTTGAGACGGAGCTGGTCCGAATGGAATGTGATGTAAGTATAAAAAGCGCACCAGGTTTTGAAGACTTTGTATGAATAAAAGGGTATAAAATATCTCATTTTTAAAATGCTGAGCACATGCTGAGTTGATAGTATTCTGAGTATATGGGGTTAAATAAAACGTACTATTAAAATTATTGTCACCTTTCTCTTTTCTACTTTTTAGTGTGGCCCCTAGAATATCTAAAATTATATGTGTGGCTTGTGTCTGTGGCTCATATTGTGTTTCTGTTGGATAAAGTGCAACAGCTTCCAGGGAAAGGGTGAACATGCTAAAGGTTTGGTTTGAGGCACCCTGTACAAAATTAGGCTCCTCATACACACCCCACTGTCAGAGCTGCACAGGGGAAGGACCGTCAAACGAGCAGCGCTGACCTCCTGGGCCTCCCCCCTCGCGGCCGGGCGGCAGCTGTGCATCGAGGTCCCTCTGCTCTGATGGCTTTAAGTCCTTTATCTTTAATATGTCCAAATAATACAGAAAAAAACTTACAGGTTTTGAGATGGTGAATCCGCTGCTGGAATGCACAGGTATTTAACCCCCTGTGGAATGATAAAAAATAAAATAAGATAAAAAGATGATACTCTGTGGAGAAAAGTATTTAAAGGAACTATTTACTCAGGTCAAAAAATAAAAAGTAAAAAGGAGAAGTTTTTCACTCAACTTCTATTGCCAAGGAACTGGAGGAAAACTCTTAGTTAAGTTCCTGGTCATTTTCTATGACCATGCACACAAATATTCATGCTCTCGTTTGTAGGTTAGACAGGGTTTATCAAAGAAGTGAGATGACTGAGTCCTTCCCAGGAAGTGTCTACAAGTTTCAAAACTATCATCTCTGATGCTTGTTCAAATACTCTACTCTTTAAATCTATTTCATTTAAGATCCTGAATGGCCAAAAAGGAAGCACTGATAGTAAAAACCTTATCATGATGACATGTTATGCGACAGCCTTAGGAGGAGGAGAGTTACAGTTTCACTGATGCAGTGGTAGGAGCTTCACACACTCGAAACAATTTGATTTATTTTGCTTGCTTTTCAGAAGAGTAAAAGTTTACATACCAAACTCATATATTTTTAAAAGAATGACCCAATTTGAAAAAAATGAACTTCACATTGTTCACTATAAAAATCTATAAAAATGTTTATGTAAATTCATACTATAAAAAAATCATGCCAAATTTGAGTTTTATTAAAAGCTTGGTTGCCTCTTCTTTGGAGGGATTTAAAGTATAATTCAAAAGGTCTTCAATGTCAAGTAAAAAAACAAAGTCTAGAAATCTCAGCAAACTTTGCGAAGGAAAATGGCTTCATGAAGCCTTAAATAAACCACTTTTAAACCTTTCTCTCTTGATAGCCTAATCTAGCAGAATCTAGCCACCAGGTCATAGATAATTAACGGGGAAAACATTTTCAGAAACTAGAAAAGTAACCAACCTAAGAGAGTCAAAGAAGGAGAAATATGTGGAATCATGGTACAGACAACCACATGTCCCTTAGCAGTTGAAGGCATAAAATTATTATTCCTAGAATTATTTGCCATTTTTTTGCAGTTGATCATTAAAATTTTACACTCAACTCGTATCATTAGGAATTTCTGTGTTGTATTTGCTAGTGCAGTCTTGTGAGGAACATGTGGTCCTCCTCCACGTTGTGGATCCCACTTTCCAACACAGAAGCTATAGAAACTATGTTTCTCAACCTCCTTTGCTGCTAGGGTGCAGACTCGGGACCTGGTTGCATCATCTGACACACCTACTTGCGGCAGATTTGGAAACAGGACACGGGAGTGTCAGATGGGTAAAGAGCACCTGCTCAACAGGTGCAGGTGGCGGCTGAGGCGGGAAGTGCTGGGCGGACGTGGCAGCAGGTCACAGTGGGCAGTTGTATGTTGTGCACTGGGTGTTGTTCCTCGAGCTGCAGTTGGCAGCCTGTCTCTCCAGCTCTTCTGAGGAGATCATAGCCCTCGGCTCTCTCTTAACAAGCCCCTTTCTGCTGAAGTGCCTCAGAGTGGAATCTGTTGTCTGCAACTAAGATCTGAGTGACACAATTCCCCTTCCTGTCCCCCACCATTATGAGAGGTCAGAAAAATCATTTCTCCTGCTTATTTCACACACACACACACACACACACACACACACGTATATGTATATATGTATATATATATTTTTCAGTTTTGAGTCAGTCATGACATCTTCTAACAAAGGCTCCTGTGGATCTCCAAGAAGATGAGTTTTACTGCTACTTAACCACAGCGGAACACTCCACATGTGGCCAAACGTGCTAACACGCCACGGGTTAGCCGCTGGGAGAAGAACGTGAAGCAACAGGCTGTCCGTCACTCAAGCTTCGCTTCGTCACCTCACTGTCCCCGTCCGTCCCCGTGCCCTGGACTCTGGGCATCTGCTCTGCTGGAAACAGTGAAGCGGCTGCCTGAAGTTCTAAGCATCTCCAAACCCAGACAGGTTTGACAGCCCTGATACGAAGGGAAAGAAAATGGAAAAGGAAACGACACTGTTAAAAAGAGTCATTTCACGCCTCCCCTCATGGAGGCCAACAGGCTTGCTGGTGTAGACACACACTGATCATCTTGTGATCCGCCATTGAAATGACTCATTTACTTTTTTCCTTTTACTCTGAAGTGAGAGTCGGCTGGATCAGGCCCAGAAGCTTGTGAAATGCTTCCCTCCCACACACTTCCCCCAATTTCCTTCAGACCAACCCTTCCCGAGGGACGGGAAGGGTTCTCAGGGTTCCACTTTCCCTTCTCCTGCGACTGTCAGTCTGAGCATCCTGCTAGTCAGCGATGCTGAGGCGGGTCCCTCTAATGTGGGATGAAAGCACCTACCGCACTTTCCGACCGACAGCCCCTTAATCCTGCAGAATCCAGAACCGGCCCAGTCCATATGTCGGGAGGAGAGAAAAAAATGGAGAGAAGGAAGAGAAGGAGGGGAGGGTAAGTGGCTCTCAGCTTATCGAGAGCGTCCGCCATCAACGCCAGCATGGTGTCGGGCGGAGTGCTCTGCTGCTTCAGGGGTCTCTGGATGGGGTCTCGTTCCCCTCTGTGGTGCCTGACGTACGAAGGGAAAGAGGCCAGCCCCACACAGCAGGAGCAAGCCGGGAGAAGGTGGCAAGGGGTGCCCCCACTCCGTGCCTGCCGAGGGTGAGGAAGCACCTTTCGGCCATGTCGGTCCCCTCAGCCTCACTAGCTGGGACGGGCACGTGGCAATGATGGCTTCCCATCTGTGACGCATTTAAGGAGGAACAAAGGGTCTCCTGGCCACAAGTTTGGGGATCCCCTACTGCAAAGGAAGGACGCTGAAAATATACAATATAAGATCATGTTCTCTCAAAGACACAATAACAGCAGTAAGAACCTTCCCTGGAACGATGCCTGGCACACCACAGGCACTTACTAAACGTCTGCTGGATGATAAGAACGAGGTGAAAATCAGTTAACATGAAGATCACATCGTAAGAATAGTACAAGGGGAGAAAAATACTGTGAAGTGCCCAGGCCTTATTCTGGTGACCACAGAAACAAGAGGCACGCCACGATGGGGGCACGCGCACACACACGCTCCAGCGGGACACAGCTAAGAAGCAGCTCACCGTGATCTACAATAAGAAGGGAACAAACTATGCAAATACAGTGAAGAAAGGAGTCAAAACTGTCGAAAAGGTTCAGTTGCTCACCACCCAAGAACGTCTACTTATCCTGGCTTAGTCATTAACAAAGCACAAAAAGTATCTTTCTTGGAGGCCACAGACTGCAGAACATAAGGTGCCTGAAAAAAGGCTTCAGATGCCTGCACATGTGTACAATTCAGTTAATTACTAATTCAGAAAGCAGCAAGAGTGCTGGCAGCGTGAAGGACCTCAACGCTAATGAGAGAGCCGGACAGACTTAAAATTATTAAAGGACTGGGCTCAGCAAATGTTTTAATATGATGTGGAACAGAATTTTTCATCTACTTGGACCTGAACAAAGGACCTTTCTGTAGCGCTGGAGTTCAGAGAGACAGGTGTTTAGCTAAGTTGCGGAAAGTTTAGCAAAAAAATAAAGAACGTCTTATTATAGGACAAAATTCTAGAGCAATCTGAAAACTTCATAAGCAATAAAAACAGCAGCCATGTTCTCCCTTTTACTACAGCGTTTGCTAGGGGGGTATCTACTCCTTCGTATTTACCGCTGGTATTTTTTTAAAAACCCTAAAATCAGTTATCTTCTTTGAAACAAAATTCTTACTAAATAAATAAAAATTCAGTATTTCCATGATCTTCAAAGAAGTGATTGTTGGAAAGCTAATTGACATTAAACTTTTATGGAGCTAATAAATGTCGAGTTACAGACTCTCAACTTAGAGAGCTGGCCCAGGAGTGCCCACTGAAGTACAAAAAGAAGCTCAGTTAAGACGGCCACGGTTTCTACGAGGGACAAAGAAAGAGCAACCAATTTCTTTGGACTACATGACCTTCTGAGTGGCCTCACATGTCCTGAGAATGGCACCAATACTGATGAAATGGGAACCAGAAGGAGGAAAAAGGCAAAAAACATATACACTAAATATTCACAATACCAAGTGACACATCGATTAGTGTGACATGATGTCACACTAATGTGACAAAACGTAGGAAAAACATCAGGAAAATACAGGAAGGAAGGAAGAGTTAGGTGGGGTTTGCCAAGGAGCGCTTTTTGGATGAAGTTTTTGTTTTTGTTAGGTTTTCAAAGAAGCGGTAGTCATCACTTGACTGAAAAGAAAGTTTAGAAAGTATTCCAGAGGCTCTTCTTGAACAAAAGGTTAAAGCTTTCTAAGTCCGTATTCTCAAAAGTTCTAATAATTTTCAGTTTTCTGTTTCAACAAGCATAGTAACCACCAAGAGTAAGGTTTTTGCCTTTCTTTGGGTCTGAAACTAAAGATTACACTTAAAACGATACGTAGGCAAGTACTTGAAAAGCAGGGCCAAGGTTCTGATTTCAGGACTACTGAAGGAATCAAACTCTCGCTTGTTTCAAGTACAATTTCTAAAATTCACTGTTCTTTTCTTTCTGAAACATCATAAGTAAGAGTCTTCTGAAGAACCTAGTTGACATTCTACTTTTCAAAGGAAAGGCCAAGCCCTTCAGAGCTGTCTTCTCTCTCCTAGGAAGCTAATGGAGACCAGTTACAGAAAATAACTCCTTCCTGCCTATTTACAACCTAAGAGGAAACATCAGTAGGAGAAGCAGGGGCTCACTTAAGGGGCCAGAGTCGGGAAATCCAGGCAGAAACAACATAATCAGAAATCTTGGTTTCTCATTTATCCCGTTCAGTGCCAGCAGCAACTTGGGTGTGCATGGGAGGACCCCTGAAGAGACTGCGTTTTTCCTTTGACCAGCATGTTTGGGGGCTGTACTGCATGGCTTGAGAAAATAAGCTGAAGACCCCATGAAAAGCTAGTTTCACCACATTCCCAAAAAACTCTGAGTCCAGAAAATAAACATAAAATTAAAGAGAATTAAATGTGGCGACTTCCCTGGTGGCGCAGTGGTTAAGAATC